AATCTCCTTATAAAAGAACCTAAGAAAATTCCCCTTACTTTAAACAATGCTATTTGTAATGAAAAACAGTAGGCCCCTTATTTTTGTTGATAAGTTGATCCATTTGTTATTTAAATTACAACATGAAAAAACTTTAAAACTGCTAACTAAAGTTTCATAACGTGTTTCACCACTTTAAATAATTTCTGCTCTACAAACCCTACCAACTGTGATCTGTTTTTGCAAAGGAAGCTGAATGAATCAGAGGGCTCTGCACAAGGACAGAAGAGGATCTGTGTGGTTTTCAGCATGCACTGAGGCCATCAGGCTAAATTGTGGCTTTGCTGCAAGCAAGACACTGCTCTGAGAAACAGATGAGGAAACAGATTGCATCTCCCAGACTGACAATCTGCTTGCCGTGTTTCTTGTACTTTACAGGAGAAATAACTTGGGCCAGGCCTATACATGGTGTGGCTATGCTAAGTAAGGCTGAGCGAAGAACGAAGCCATTCCCTGCCACAGTGCCAAGTGTGGAAAGGGAAAAAACCAGCCCCAGGCAGGCCGCTCCGCCCTCTCATGCTGTGTAATGGCAGCCGCCAACAAAGAGCAAAAAAGGGCCAATTCAACCTTCCCTACCACTCTGTGCCAGTTCATATTAATTAATATTCAATCCCACAGTCCTGTTAAAAATCCAAAGCTCTTTTAACATGTCTTTAAAAAGACTAAATATTAGCATATAATCTAAAACTATGCATTCTTGATTGCAATATAGGACAAACACTCATGGACATGAATGCATACGGCAAAATGAGGTAAGGGGTCTGAGATACATTAAAACCTTCAAAGTTATTTTTCCTAAACACACTTAGAAAGAAACAAAGCCTGTCTCTATCCAACAATGAAAAACTGGTTGGTCAATTACAACATGCTATGTATAGAGATAATCAAATTAACTAAATTAAAATTACCAGGTTTGTTAGAAACACTTCATCCTCTGTGTTAAATCATTTAATATTCATTTAAGGATTTGGGGTGCAGAAATTAAATTATACCTTCTGTTAGAGAGACTGGGACTTTACTGTCAAGTATTTGAGTTACACTGGAATAGTGAAATCACATAAAAAGATGTGAAAATTGTATTTGCAATCTAAGAAGAAAAATACTTTAGTTCAAAACTTAAAAAACTTTTTTTTTTAATATGAAACATATTTGAAATACTAATGTATGACAATTCTAGACCTTGGAATCCCCAAAGAAAAAGAGAAAATTAACTGAGGCTTCAGTCTTCTAGACTTTGAATCCTTTATGAGATGTTTCAAAATATCCTTGTTTCATAGTAAAAGTACAGATCCCAGACCTGCACTAATGTTTTGGGTTGGAGACCTCAGGCATACCATGTAACACAGCCTTACACATCCTAGTATATCACACCTGGAATTTAGACCTATCTCCAGRGTTTCTGGTTCTTTGTCAAAGTCCATCAGTCCATTCAGCTGCATCAGAAATATGTGGGCTCCTAAAATACCAGTAAGTAGCCAGGTTTAAGCAACTAAATTACATCAGGTGTTAACTTAGGTTACTTGCTGTAGTAGGTGGCAATGCCTTGTGGTGATCTCTGCACCTGAGGGATTCACCTTCACTATATTCACCCACAACCTGTACAATAAAGAGCAAACTGGGAATTGAGGCAGGGGGTACAAACCACAGCAGCCTTCCAATGCTTCTCCTAACTGAAACAAGTTAAAGAGTCCACACAGTCAAGCATCACTGATTTGCTGTCATTGCTTTAGATAAACCAATTTGGGCATGAGGTATTATAGAGTAACTATTGCAGATATCTGGGTGCATATGAGGTCWTAATTAAGCATACATCATTTTTATGCACTTTGCACATGCTCTAAGCATACGTTTAAATTCTCGCAGGAATTCATTCATACATTTATATGTGTGCTTAAACAGCCTTCGAGGACAGACCTGTTTTCCTGAACTGTTGTTTAATTTAATGACTTAGGAGTTAGAAGTCAGGCCTTTAAAAATTAAGTAATTTAGTCTGTAATTAACATCAACAAATAGGTCCAACTATATAGAATAACCATACAAAAGTTTGCCCTGTRTTTCCCCCAAGAACTATAAAACACATTAACTGTTATGAAAAATAAGCTGTTATARAAATGTAAATAGGACATCATAGCTCAGATAGCATGTTCATTGGTTCATATAACAATCAATGTGTATTTGTCAATATATGATTACTAAACTTCATTCACAAGACACATAATTACTGTAAAGGAAATTTTCACCAAAAAAGGTGTCTAGACATAGAGAGTTCAGCCACATAAATGGAGTTGTCTCCAACTCTTTGAAGAAATCCGAAGGGAAAATGTACTACTACTGCCTAGACCAATACATCAGGCACAGTATTAGTCCATTTGCATGCTGAAGGAGTTGGACTTTTCCAACCTAATATTRGAAACAGCATTGCCAAAAGGACAAAGAGCAACATGGGTCTTTCTCACTACAGCGGGACATGTACAATCCATTTTAGAAATGGAACAATAATTAGGTTCAACAAAACAGCAGGAGTTACTGTCAAACATGACTCCTAAAAATTATGCAAAATGAAGAAAATTATGCCCCTATATTTTTCTCTTGTTTTTTTTTAACAACTCACAAAATAAGTTTTTGTTCTAATAAACTGTGTGCAAAAATACCAGTATAAGTCTACTTGTAAATTTCTTTAATAGGTTTTCTATTTTAAAAATYTTTGGATCCCCCTCAAATTCAAACTTTCATATTGCACAATTACAGCTCTTCTACAACTTTGCTATTTTCAGCATGTGTTGATTTCCCAAACAAGATCAAGATGTTCATATGATTCTCAGTACCTCATTTTGTTTCCATTTTTAATGTAGCAGGATAGATCCAATCTTAATCTTSCATGCCATTCTGGACTTAATCCATAATTAATGGCATCAGTTAGATTATGGAACATCTCCAAAACAAACAAAAAAAAAAGCTATGTCAAAATACCTGCCAAATATAAATCTTTCTTGAAAAACATTTACTATAATGCATAGTAGTTCCTGCTTTGAGCATTCCTGCTGAATCCTCCAAAAAGTTTTATGTTCCACAGTGTGTTAGATTGTGAACATGWACACACGAAACCATTACTGAACTCTTTCTAAATTAGAAATATTTAATCATACAGCTGGATGTAGCATACAGCTGAAAGTTCACTTCTGATTTTTGAAGCTGCATTGACAGAAGCCATAGACATTATTGTTAACATTAGTAAGAAATACCATAAATTAAACAATATTTACTTTATTCTGCCTTAGTTCTCTTTAAGAAAAGTGTACTTCCAGGGAAAAAAAAAATAATTAAAAAAAAAAAAATAAAAGCAAGTTGACTTTACAACCTAAAATCCTTAAATCCTGGGTAACAAACAATGACTGTGATGACCCATCTGTATATACAAAACATGGTTCACGTGTTCTCTGTAGACAGCATAGAACAATGCTGTTTAATAAAGAAAGGCAAGCACAAGCCAATATACTTCCTCTGGATACACAAAACTTATGATACACAACATGAAATTAACAATGGAAGGATACGCGTTAGCCCTAGAGAAAGTCACTACACAAATCATGCATTAGAGCTAGATTATAAATGGCCAGTCATTGTACCGAAGTGAATTTACTTCTGTAGTTTGAAAGTAGGTATCATATTTCAAATTCAACTGACTGACTATCTGACATACTTCTTTCTAAGCAGCCTATTCGAGTACAGTACAAAAAGCAATCACATGGTGTGTTTTGATTTTGGTCAATGGGTTAGTAATTCAACAATGGTGCAATAGCTAACTGAACTGGGGTAAACTTTGGTAACTTTGGTAAACTATGAGTACCTGAACTGTTGTTATTTACAGTACTAAACCTAGCTTTAAAATAGCAAGATTTTATAATAGAGTTTAAACAGTATAATTTGGAGCATTAATACTAAATTTTCCTTGATAGGGAACTTCTAAATAATATAAATATTGACAAGAAGGCACTGGCAATAGAATCACAAATATATATTCATTTAATCAATTTCCATTGTGCTAGGCCTTTTCTTTCCTTAAGGAACWAAAAAAGCAAACCAAACCCCCAATTTATTCAGGTTCTAGGACAACAGTGTTTCARTTCATTTTGCCTTCTTTCGCTATGCCTATGTTAGTGTTGAACACTAGCACTGGACTGTGTGCTGCAGACCTGCTCTGCTCTGAATACAGTCAAATGCCATAAATGATTGTGACAATGCTCTGACTTAAGCGCATGATGAAACTTACGATCMAAGCTATGCCGTAGATCATAGGAGATGCAACTAATGACTAAAGTTAAGCCTTTCACCCAACATGGCCAGTAACCCAGTTTCACTCCACTGAATCCAGGAACCTTGAAAGTACTGCTGCTCTTACCTARCCTGTTCCCTAAGTTTTACACGTCCTCTGCCTCGATGATCTGCCACAAAAAAACATTACCTTTCTTTGTTTTGTAGGCTTATTATGATGGCATGCTTAATTTCTTCTGCAAGCAAGGGTAGCAACTATGGGTGAGAGTATGGGGTGAWGCTATGTCTTTTCACACCGAATTCCACGATGCAATGCCTTGTCTGTGATAAACACTACCATCTGCGATTAAAGTAGCAATTTGAAAACGGAAATATCAAAGGAAGGGTAATTAATACATTGTATATATTAGTCCAGCAGTCAAAATATAAGTTCTGCACCAYAGCTAGTAACAGAATGAACAAGGACCCTGCAGACGCATTGAAGGCAGAAAATTCACTACCACTATATTAATAAAATGACTGCCTGTGACTTTAAACCCTGGCATGCTTGTACTTGGCACGAGAGTGAACGATTTATTGTTACTATGAAGGATGCGGGAATGGAAACGAAGATGAGGGGGGCAATGATAGTGATGATAGGGAAGAAGAGGTTAATATCCCCAGCATTTGATGGGGAACGATGTCCCTACCTCAATAAGCTGGATAAGGGAATAGCTCCAGATCCACTGCCCAGGATCCCTCCTTTCCTCCCAGAGAGGAGTTTCTCCACCAGAGCCACATTCCCAGTGCGAGCGGCTTCCAGCAGTTCCTGGTCCTTCCCCATGGTCGGGAACCAAGCAGCCCCCACGGGAGAGCTGCACCCCGGGCCACAGAGCGGCCCCCTTCCTGCACAGAACGGTCTCCCCTCCCCAGACCCTGCCTCAGGGCAGAGCACAGCAGAGATTCCTGCAGTCCCTTCCAGACCAGCAGGAGCAGCAGCAGGAGGGAGGAGGAGAATCACCTCCTCCTAGTTTCACTGGATCATTTCTGGGTGGAGTGTGGAAGAAGGGGGGAGGGAGGGAAAGAGGGAGGACGAGGCCAATAGAGAACCATACCCCCCCCCTCCCCATGCACACACAGCCCCGACCGGGAGGATGGGGCGGAGGGAGCGGGCAGCCTCGGCGCCCGTGGCCGGACGGGCTGGCGAGGATAAGGACCCTCACAGATGKATGGATGGACGGACGGACGGAAGCGGGGAGGAACGGGCGGAGGGAGGGA